AGCCCTTCCTTTTTTCCTCTTTCTCGTCTCTGAATCACTTTTTCCAATAAGCTATGGACTCAGGATATCGAATAACTCCCTGCATGATTTCGGAAAGCCTCCCTCTGATCACGGAAGCCTGGGCGGGGGAGGCATATTTATATCTATGTTTGTATTTATGTTTATATCAGAATATTACTAACCAAATTGGCATGGGGAGTGCCAGGCATGGAAGCTGCTAGCGGAAGCCGCTGAGAGGAGTGAGCCTGGTAGAACTGACAGCGTCGAGAAGAGAAGCAGACTAACGAGTAAACTAGAAGAGGCAGAGAGTGGTCACGCCAGGCCGATGACTTAACCGGGGGCAGGAAACGGGTGGCCGCCGGACGCCCGCTCACCCGGGGCCAGCCGTGTGGCATGGGAACAGCTGACATCTACTGCGGCTCAGCACGTGCTGACATGACAGTATTGTGTATATCTCCTCCTCTAATCCTCACAGCCCAGCACCGGGAGGAGTGGGGACTATTGATCAGATGCTAGTGCTAAGGTTTGGACAGGCTACACAGACAGTTCGTGGCAGAGCCAAGACCAAAATCTAGGCTGGCCCACCTCGGAGAGAGCTTAGGTGGCCTTATTTCTCAGGGCCTTTCCGGCTCCGACCTCCCATCCCAAATCGCCAATGCCTCTCACCTGCTGCCCGCACCAGCCTCCTGGGGGTGCCCCGGAGCCCCTCTCTCTTCCGCTCTCCCGCACCCACAGCAGCCAGGGCGAGCTTTGCCTTATTTCTCAGGGCCTTTCCGGCTCCGACCTCCCAAATCGCCAATGCCTCTCACCTGTTGCCCGCACCAGCCTCCTGGGGGGGCCCTGGAGCCCCTCTCTCTTCCGCTTTCCCGCACCCACAGCAGCCAGGGCGAGCTTCAAAAACAGAATGTCATTTCTTCTCCCCTTTATTTTTTAAAATATATTTTTATTGATTTCAGAGAGGAAAGGAGAGAGAGAGAGAGATAGAAGCATCAATGAGAGAGAATCATGGATCAGCTGCCTCCTGCACACCCCACACTGGGGATCGAGCCCGCAACACCGGGCATGTGGCCCGACTGGGAATCGAACCGTGACCTCCTGGTTCATAGGTCAATGCTCAAGAACTGAGCCACGCTGGTCAGGCCTTTCCTCTCTCCTTTAGGCCTCCATGGCTTCCCATAACACTCGGGGTAAGTCAGCCTTCTTTCCCTGGTCAGCCTTGCCCTGCGGTGACGGGGTCACATGCTGGCTGCTGCTCAGAGGTGCCCCGGGCACAGCCAGCCCCGCCAGCCTCCCACCACTGGGCCCCGGCGCCCCCATTACTGATATCATCACCGTGTGTCGAGTCCTCGCCCCACCTGTGTCCTCAACTTTATGTTCATGGCTTGCCCTGACATTTCCCTCTTCTGACATGTCCCAAATTATTAAAAACAGCTGCTTTTGAGTTCATTGAATGAATCATGGAAAAACATTTTTTTCTGTCTATAAATAATTCCACCTCAAACGTTTCTGGGAGGATAGGAAGAACGCTGTGAGGAGCGCCCAGCACACACCCATCGGGGTACCACCTCTGGAACCCCCCGGCCTGAGACAGGACCTCCCGGGTCAGTCCACATGGGGTCAGTGGAGAAGGCACCGGGAGTTGTAGGCGGCCTTCGACCACTCATTCTGCTACTTCTGGACAGTTTCACGTGATGTCACCCCCCTCCCCCGCCTCTGGTGTGTCACACACATACCCCACCCCCACCGCCCTGGCTGGGGCGGGATGCCCTAGGGAAGACATAGCCGCTGCCCCACACAGAGCGATCACAGGCTGGTTTTCAAGACGGACACACAGGAGCCCATTCGGCAACCAACTAGTGCAGTGGTTCTCAACCTTCTGGCCCTTTAAATACAGTTCCTCATGTTGTGACCCAACTATAAAATTATTTTCGTTGCTACTTCATCACTGTAATGTTGCTACTGTGATGAATCGTCATGTAAATATCTGATATGCAGGATGGTCTTAGGCGACCCCTGTGAAAGGGTCGTTCGACCGCCAAAGGGGTAGCGACCCACAGGTTGAGAACCGCTTGACTAGTGCAATTCGGAGCCCAGTGTAGGACGCAGGGGAGAGCCAGGTGCGGGGCAGGTGCACAGCCTGCCCAGAGCAGATGCTCGCTCGGCAGGTGTGCCCCCCGAAGCCCCTCCCCCCTTTGCTGAAGGTGCGTACAGGTGTCATCGTTTTCTCCGTAGACCTGACCTGGGGAAGGTCCGGAAGACCCACCTGGCGGAGGCAGAGCCTGAGTCGGCACCTTCGGTGGCGAGGCCTTGGGTAGAGCCTCCCCTTCTGGGGCAGGAGAGCCTCTCATGACTGGGAGGTTTTAGCATCTGCAGGCTGGTGGCAACGTCACCAGGTGTGATGGTTGACAGCGACCTCAGAGATGAGCACATCCAAAGAGAGACACAGCTGTGGCTCATGTGCCGCTACGGACCACCCGCCCTTGTCCCGGCATCGCGGTGGCTGGGTGACCACACTGGCCCGGCCTCGGAGACTCCTGGGTGCAGCCGGCCCCCGGGCAGCCGCTGCAGCTGGTCAGAGGCTGAAGCCAGCTGGTGTCGCTGGTCTCCCCAGGGCAGCGCCCTCACGTCACAGCGCCCAGCAGGGCGGGGCCCTGGAGGCCGCAGAGGCGAGCACGCCTTCGCCGCACCCGAGGCTTCTAACCCCCAGTGCAGTGCATTTGGGCTCTTTCCCTTCCAAATCCATTCACTCAGCAAGTGCTGCCTGCGCACCTGCTCTGTGCCCAGCCGGTTGGTGGATCTGATACAAGAGGGAGCCTGACGTAGGCGCTCAGAGTCCAGGGGAGACACCTGGAAACAGGTCCCCGAGCAGGTGGCGACAGCCACACTCCGTGCCTCCCTTATCCCGGAGCCCCCTGCCTCCCCCTCGCTTGATTCTTGGGGGCTTTGCCCACCGTGCTGGACACCTGTGTCCTCCTCACTCCTTGCTGCAGTCCTTGCCCCAAACGCCAGTCTTGTCCCCAGGGCTGCCCAGGCCCTGTCCTCCCCCCCCCCCCCCGGGAAGACGGGTCACTGGTCCCTCTTCAAGCGGCACCCTGGGGGCGTCGCTCACCGTTTGTTCAGTGGGCCGGGGAGACACTGATTTCCTATTAATAGAATTTTTTTTCTTTATTGTTCAAAATAAGGGCTATATTAGATGCACTGAACTGAACAGCAGGAGCTGGCTCTCATGTCCATCATTTGTAACAAGAAGACTGCCTGGCCAGTGTGGCTCAGTGGTTGAGCATTCGCCTAGGAACCAGGAGGTCAAGGTTCCATTCCCAGTCAGGGCACGTACCCGGGTGGTGGATTCGATCCCCAGTAGGGGGCGTGCAGGAAGCAGCCAATCCATGATTCTCTCCCATCATTGATGTTTCTCTCTATCTCCCTTCCTCTCTGAAATCAATAAAAATGTCTTTTTTTAGGAGAAGACTGGTTCCTCCTACCCGCTGCGGGGAGGAAGAGCCCATGTGGACATAATTACAGAGTTGGGCTCAAAAGTCAGTTTCTAAGCTCCTTGTTTTTGTGATGAAGGCAAACCTTCTCCACTTTCCTGCAGCTCACATCCTTTCTTCCATATTCATTGATGACACTCCGAGCCAGACAAATTCTGGGAAGGAATATTGGAGGGCTTGAAATTAGATCATAAAACAAAGCCCTTCTCCCCCGCGAACGGCCCGACCCGTGCGTGACGCGGTTCCAGAATTTCGCCGACCGCCCTGCACGTGTGTTCCTCGCGTGTGCTTGTGTCAGCATGCAGCGGCCATGGGTAGGCGCCAGGGAGGACACCGCTCCCTCCGTGGGACAGAGCCAACACCTTCCTCTCCGTCGCTCTGTGGCCCCCGGGACAGCTTCCTGGTGCTGTTCACACCTGCAGCATCTCAGCGCTCGCTCGTGTGAGTGATCCGCCCTGATGGCCCTCACAGTCTCCCCAAGGGAGAGAAATCGCGACGAGGAAACAAACATCGAATTACACCTTGGGATAAGTGCTAGTAAAGAAAAGAAAGCTGGCGTGGGGAGAACAGGAGGCGCCTGGGCTAGCTGGGGGAGGGGTGCTGCCGGGGAAAACTTTCTCTCAGGGGTTGAATGTAAACGGAGACTGGAAAAATAAGGAGCCTCTCCCCCAAAGGTTTTTGGTGGCAAGAGGAGCCAGTGCAAAGGCCCTGGGGTGGAAATGAGCTTGTCCCTTATGTGCAAAGCCTGGAAAGGGAGCAGGGGAGCTGGCAGGTGGCCAGTGAGGGCAAGGTGCCTCAGGATGAAGTTCAAGGGGAGGTAGGAGTTTGAGATGATGGAGAGGGAACCCCCACCCCCATTCCCAGTTGCAAGGAGAGGCCCATCTAGGGGCTGGATTATGTATTGGTTCGAAAGGCTGCCATAACAAAGGACTATGGTAGGGGCCGGGGGGCGGGGGGCTTGAACAGCAGAAATTTATTTTCTCCCAGTTCTGGAGGCCAGAGTCCGACACCAGGGTGTCTGCAGGGTTAGTTTCTTCTGAGGCCCGTCTCCTCACCTCGTGGATGGCTGGCTCCCCTTGTCCTCACGTGGTCTCCCCTCTGCCCGTGTCCTGATCTCCTCTTATAAAAACACCAGTCAGAGTGGGTTAGGGCCCACCCCACGGACCTCCTTTTAACTTAATTACCTCTTTCAAGGCGCGCTCTTTCCAAATACAGCCACATTCTGAGGTCCTGGCGATTAGGGCTTCAGCATATGAATTTGTGGGGGGACACAGTCCAGCCCATGACAGGGACCTTCCCCGACCTAGTCACGGAGGACAGAGTTGGGGTTGCGGGTCAGCACATTCAAAATGCCTCGGAGGCCAGAGGGGACCGGTCCTCAGCCTCCTGCTCCCTCTTTGTCGAAAGGGATGATTCTCAAGCCTTAAGGGGAGTCAGAGACTCGGCGGTACCCAGTTGGGACTTTTCCCCCCCGCCATCAGTCAGAGTCCTTGAAAGAGAAGTGGAAACCTCCCTGTCGTAATTCAGGGGTGTTCATTCGGGGTCCCCCCTGGCCCTCAGCCACCGGGGCAGGGCAGCCAGCAGTCTGGGCCGGGAGACAATGCCAAGCTGAGTGAGGAAGGGAGCAGGGGCTGCCTAGCCAGTGGGCTGGGGAGGAAAGTTGGGGTGCTGGCCAGGCACATCCAGGCTCCCCAAGGAAGAGAGGCCCAGAACGTGTTGTGTTGAATGAAATGGAGGAGAGAACCCCCAACCGACCTCACCGCTGCCTCCCCAAGTCCCCTTACACTCACTGTGTGTGTGTGTGTGTGTGTGTGTGTGTGTGTTCGGCCTCCGGAGCCAGGGGCAACCAGCCCCTATGGCCGGTGGGCTGAGCTGCCTGCAGACCCCCACATTCGCCTCCAGTCATCCCCTCCACCTTCTGCTGAGGATACAAATAACTACAAGGAGGGAAAGGTCCTAGAGAGATCACCTTGCAATTCAGAAAACATGAAGCCCGGCTCCATCTCATTAGGATGGCATTGGGGGAAGGGGAGACCTGGGTGGCATTTTACATTGTGAGCCGAGCCGAGCCGAGTGTGCGGCCTCTCTCATTTTGGTTCTGAGCAGTTGGAAAGTTTGCAGTTGGAACAGAAGACCCAACTTCAAAGGCACTGCCTGCTGCTGGCCGGGCAGAGGGAGTGGAAGGAGCAGCGTGGGGGGCGGGGGGGGACGGGACGTGGTGGCCGCGGGCACAATGGGGTCGGGCTGGAGCAAAGGCCTGGGGGCCACAGGGGGCGCAGCCTCAGAGCCTGCTGTGCCTTTTAGGGGATCAGTGGAACCGCTCCTGGGAGGACAGCTAATTGAGGCAGTGGCCTTGTCCTTGGAAAGTGAGCTTTTGTCCAGCCTGGGCCCTCGGGGGCACTCACGGGGCAGAGCTCTGGCCTGGGCTGTCCCAGGCACCCTCCCACCCGGTCTCCCCCTGGTGCTATAGAAACAGGGCCTCTTGGGAGGCGGCTGCTCCCTCCCTCCTAGAATCGGGGAGCGGGCAGCTCCAGTCCCTTTCAGCCTAGAAGGCAGGGGGATTGGGTTTCGGGGTTCCCAGGAACAGTCGTCCTGCCCACCTCCCTGGAGGGCAAATGTCCACTCAGCCACTGGGCTGCTGGGACAGGTGGACAACGGAGGGGGTGGTCCCTCCCTCTCTCCTTCCTCCCCTCTGCCCTGCTGGCCTTGGGGCTGAGCGCTCACCTTCCAGCTCCCTTTTCAGGGGAGGTGGCAGCTAGGAGACCAGGAGTCACCATGACAACAAAGCTCCTAAGCAGGCCAGAGCCCCCAGCTCCCCCTCATCTGTGTCCAGGCAATTGGGGGCCATCATTTCTCAACCACTGTGAACGTTCTGAAGGTCAAGACCCCCCTCAATAGGGGGTGTGCAGTGGGTAAATGAGTACATTGGTGGATGGATAGGTGGGTGGCTAGAGATGGGAGGAAGGAAAGAAGTGGTGCACACATGAATAATGAATGGATAGGCAGATCCCGGGGAAGGACAGAAGGAAGGTAAGGAGATGGGCGGGTGTGGAAGTGAGTGGATGGGTGAACAAGGGTAGCCGATGGCTACGTGGGTAGATGCATGATGTTCAAAAGAGATGCATCCTAGCTAGGTGTTACCGGGCTATGTGGATGGATGGATGGATGGATGGAGAAGGATGGGCAGGTTTGAAAGGAGACAAGATAGAAAACAGCACCAAATCCTTGGTTCTGCTGCAGGATCTTCCCGGGGAACCAGGAAGGCTCCCTCCCCTAAGGCAAGTGGTAGATCTAGGACAGTGGTTCTCAACCTTCCTAATGCCGCGACCCTTTAATACAGTTCCTCATGTTGTGGTGACCCCCAACCATAAAATTATTTTTGTTGCTACTTCATAACTGTAATGTTGCTACTGTTATGAATCAGCATGTAAATATCTGATATGCAGGATGTATTTTCATTGTTACAAATTGAACATAATTAAAGCATAGTGATTAATCATAAAAACAATATGTAATTATATATGTGTTTTCCGATGGTCTTAGGCGACCCCTGTGAAAGAGTCGTTCGACCCCCAAAGGGGTCGCAACCCACAGAATGGCGACCCACAGGTTGAGAACCGCTGATCTAGGAGGTCCCCAGCTCCCCTCCGCCCCGCCCCTCGCCCCATAGACCCTGCGATCTGACAGCTTGCTGCAACTAAGACCCCTGAGCCCAAGGGAAGAAAGAGCCTGGTCTCCAACCATTAAATGCCTGCAGTGCCCCAATCATTGCCACTAACAAAGACAGATGTCGCGGCCTGGGGGGCATGGGTCTGGCAGTTGCTAAATGCCCAGAATGCTCCCTGCTCCCACCACTGCCATTCTCCACCTGCTGGAATCGCCGTGCCTGCCGGGTCTCTCTGCCACTTCCCCTTGAGGAACAGTCTGTAGGCCAAGGAAGGCAGCTATGCCCACGGGCCCTGCCCAGCCTGGTTGCTGGTGCTTTGCTTGTCCAGCTCTGGCTCCCTCTCCCCTTGGCCTGTGTGCTCCTGCCCCCTAGTGGGAGCCAGGACAACTGCAGCGCACAGGGCGGGGCGGGGTGGATGGAGGCTTTTCCTGCAACCAGAGGCGTGTGTGTGTGTGTGTGTGTGTGTGTGTGTGTGTGTGTACACACACACTCACTCTCACACTTCTCTTGGCCTAAAAGATTAGAGATGGACGGAAAACTCTGAAAGGCCCGTAGCAGCTCCTCCAATGCAAGGGGTTATTATTATAATTACTGTGATTATTGTTATCAAGAGGATCGTGCTTGCCTGACGTCCTGTACAAAGCAGGCCCATTTCCTTCAGCTTGTTGTTTGTGTCTGAGGGACTTCATCTTTGCTCATAATAACTAACATTTGCAGGGCTCTTTGTGTTGCAAAGCTGTGTCCCATCCTTAGCCTGTCTCCATGGCACAGACAACCCTGGGAGGTGGGAACGAACGAGAGCAGAGGCCCAGAGAGGTTAAGTGATCTGTCCAACCAAGGTCGCGCAGCTAAAAGGCGGCAGAGCCGGGATTTGAACCCGGGTCACCTGCGTGAACATTCCCATTCACTTCCCCACGTTTTTGACATCTCATCTCTCGGGAGGGCAAAGGCCCTTTATTAAACATTTGCCCTTTGCTGCTGATGTTTATTGAAAAGTCCATGTTGCCCTGAAAAGAAGGGAAGTGGTTGAAGACCTGAGTGTTATAGGTGGCGTTAGGGCCCAGTGGTCGGCAAACTCATTAGTCAACAGAGCCAAATATCAACAGTACAACGATTGAAATTCCTTTTGAGAGCCAAATTTTTTAAACTTAAACTATATAGGTAGGTACATTGTTATTAACTTAATTAGGGTACTCCTAAGGCTTAGAAAGAGCCACACTCAAGGGGCCAAAGAGCTGCATGTGGCTCGAGAGCCGCAGTTTGCCGACCACAGCATTAGGCATCTCAGTGTAGACGATGCGTACACCTGGGCACCTCCGAGTCCCGGGCAGTGAATGGCAAGCGTGTGGCCCTCATGGCTAGTGGCTCAGCTGGGCTGATGCCAGCATCCCCTGGTCACCACTTGCCCCATCCACGTCCCGGTGTGACCACGTCTCTGGGAAGGGTGGGCAGGTCACACACGGAGGGACAAACATAGGAGTGAGTCCGAGGTGGCTGGGTGGAGGCGATTATAGAGCACACCCTCCCTGTAGCCTCCCTGCGAGGTGTCACGAGGCTCTGGGTGCTCAGATTGGAGTGTGTCCCTCACCCAGCAGGAAGTTGCCTGCCCTGCCCACCCTCTGGCCCTGACTCCCTTCTCACAGACCCGGCAGAAACCTTGGCGGCAGGCCCGAAGGAGGAAGTGTGGGAAGGTCTGGCCGGGTCCACCGGCTGCGTTCCACATTCCACAGATGGCAGGCACGGGCGAGGACTGAGACTTCCCCAGGTCACCCGGCCGCCTGGGAGCAGCAGCAGCATGTGGACCCCCTAACTCAGGCCTCGGCACTGGTTTTAGCCCCAGGCGGAG